ACTTCGGTATAGACTGAATTTGAGTACATAATAAAAATGTGAGTTTAATGAACCAATGAATAATAAACTGTTTGAAACTAAAGACTTGATAATTATTCCTAACATCCTAAATTTGTCTAAAGACAGTACTGCCTAAAAGCAAATTTTCTCAAATGGAACTTGCACATCGATAACACATCTAGGACTTGTAATTATCTCTGCGTATGCAGAAAATAATCGATCCAATATAAAGCCTTTACAAGGAAACTTATTTCAGTACCACACAATGTCTCTAGAATTAAGCACATGTCAGGATTCACAAACTACAGCTTTAGTGGATTTAAAACTAGGCTATGACAGCTTGCTCAGGGCAAAGAAACTTACAATAAATACTGGTGCCATTTTGCCTTAAAAAACAAATACTTCAGATTCAATCATTTGAAAGTCAACTTTGAAACTATGAAGAGAAAAACGGGGGAAGAAGACTTACAGCTAAGAACTTCATAATTATCCAAGAAGAATTCTCCCACCTAAGTTTGGCTAAAAGAAAAGATCCCAGAACATAAATAAAAAAGAAAAGAAAAGAAAAAGAAAAAAGGTCCCAATCAAAGAAAAAATTCTAAGGAAGAGGGTAACACTGAAATTTCCTTTGACACGATAAAAAAAAAAAAAATTCTAAGGAAGAGGGACAGAATAGTGACAATAATCTGTCAGGTTGTGGTCCTAACTGTTCTCTAGATAATTAGTTTAGAGGAAAACAAAGGTAGTGAAACTTCTTTCTCACAAACAGATGCCAGTGATCATATGGGTCACTGGGTAGAAGAATGTATAAAATTCCTGGAAAAGCAATTCCAGGCAAGGCGTGGTGGCTCATGCCTGTAATCCCAGCACTCTAGGAGGCCGAGATGGGCAGACTGCTTGAGCTCAGGAGTTTGAGACCAGCCTGGGCAACAAAGGAAAACCCCATCTCTACAAAAGATACAAAAAATTAGCTGGCCATAGTGAAAGGCGCCTGTAGTCCCAGATACTTGAGAGGCTGAGGTGGGAGAATCACTTGAGCCAGGGAGGCAGAAACTAATGAGCTGAGATCATGTCACTGCCCTCCAGCCTGGGAAACAGGGCAAGATCTCATCTCGGAAAAAAAAAAAAAAAGAAAGAAAAAGAAAAAGAAGAAGAAGAATACATACATAAGCCAGGCACACTGGCTGATGTCTGTATTCCAGTACTTTGGGAGGCTGAGGTGGGCAGGTCACCTGAGGTCAGGAGCTCAACACCAGTCTGGCCAACATGGTGAAACCCCATCTCTACTAAAAATACAAAAAAACTTGCTGGACATGGTGATGCACACCTGTAATCTAAGCACTTTGGGAAGCCAAGGCAGGTGAATCACAAGGTCAGGAGATCGAGACCATCCTGGCTAACACAGTGAAACCCCGTTTCTACTAAAAAATACAAAAAATTAGCCAGGTTTGGTGGAACACACGTGTAATCCCAGTTAGTCAGGAGGCTGAGGCAGAAGAATCCCTCGAACCTGGGAGGCAGAGGCCGGAGTAAGCTGAGATCACACCACTGCATTCTAACCTGGGCAACAGAGTGAGACTCAGTCTCAAAACAGATAAATAAATAAATAGCTGGGCATGGTTTGGGCACCTATAATCCCAGCTACTTGGGAGGCTGAGGCAGAAGAATGGCTTGAATCCAGGAGGTGGAGGTTACAGTAAGCTGAGATCGTGCCACTGTACTCCAGCCTGGGTGACAGAGTGAGACTCTGTCTCAATAAAAAGAAAAAGAAAAGAAAGGAAAGGAAAAGCAACTCCAAGCATATTTTCTATTGACAGTGGGTTGATAAAATCAACTTATACATGAAGAACAGCATACTATCTTTTTTTTTTTTCTTTTTTTTTTTGAGATGGAGTCTCCATCTGTTGCCCAGGCTAGAGTACAATGGCACCATTTCGGCTCACTGCAACCTCTGCCTTCCAGGTTTAAGCAATTCAACTGCCTCAGACTCCTGAGAAGCTGAGACTACAGGCACCTGCCACTATGCCTGGCTAATTTTTGTATTTTTGTAGGAACAGGGTTTCACTGTGTTGGCCAGGGCAGTCTAGAACTCCTGACCTCAAGTTATCTGCCCAACTCAGGCTCCCAAAGTGCTGGGATTACAAGCGTGAGCCACCGTGCCCGGCCATGCGTACTACTATTAAATCTAGAAATAGACCAAGAAACCCTCCAATTAAACTGATGAAAACAAGTATTGGGTCCAAAAACACAATTTGTGACCAGTTTTGTGACTGAGTCCGGGAGAAGAATAGCCCACTAGCTTGCTGATGTACTCTTTATAGACAAGCATGAAAAATTAATAACTCTACAAATTTCTGACCATCCTCCTAGGAGAAATAGACATAACATCCTTAGCTAACTACTTGATGTAAAACACTAACCATCCAAGGGATGATTAGATATGGCAAGGGTTGATTCTCCATTTTCTGCTGTTTAAGCTGTTATCACGGTATACCAGAAACAGAAAATGTGAACTTGGGTTCCAGCTCAGGCACCTGGTGCCAAGTTTGGTGAAAGCATCTTATGCACTGTCAAGGCTGTGAAATTCAATATTGAAAACAAAGAAGGACTTCTGAATGTTAAGACTTCTATCAAATATATTTGGCTGCTTCTTCATTCACCCAAACCAGGTGGCAGTAGTCACAAGGTCACCAAGTGGTACATTCGATTTTCCTTACCTGGCACAAGCCAAAGCCACCAGGGCAGCAGCAGCATTTTCTTTTTGCTTATGTGGGATGTGTCGGCCTGTGTCAGAAGTCTCCTCTAGCCAAGAGCACAGCAAAGTTTCAATTCCATTGAGACAGTCAGCAGGCTCCTTGGTCAAGCTCAAAGGCTGGCAGTCACGAAGGCAGTTCAATAGCACCTCAGCAGTTATGTTACAGAGAGAGGGGTCTGTTCTACTCTGGGACTGAATAAGGGGGAAGACCAGCAGGAGCCCCATCCTTGATGTAAAAGGTGCTTGCTCAGGTTGCTGCAATAAGCCCTGGCGTTTGAGCAGGGCCAAAGTTTCCTCATCACCTGAACTTTCCCTTTCATGCTGTTCTTCCAAGGCTAGCTGGCGCTGGGCATTCCACAGTCCTCGCAAGGCATTCAGGCGGTATTCCAGCAGGCGGGCATAGGCATTGCTCTGATTCCCACAAACGGAGCGCAAACGTTCTGCTAATTCCGCCGGGTTCTTGGTCTCAAAGGTTAAAATCTAAGGAAAAAGACAGTGGAGAAGTGGGTAAATACTACTTTCACCAAAGTCATCTAAGGAAGCAAATATGTTTAATGATATCCCAAAACAGACCATGCCAAAAACTGTTTTAATTAAAATCAAATGGAAAACGTATACTGTACCACCAGCTCGTTGCTGATAGAGTTGTTCCCCCTTTGGCTTTTCTGTTAATGCGTCTACTAAAATTGGGATTAGACGTAATTGAAAGAGCCCAAATCATAAAAGAATATAGTTAGGTGTGAAAGTCAGAAATTAACTCCAGAATTTATTTTAGAAAATTGAAATATAAGGCCAAGTGGATGGTTCACGTCTATAATCCCAGCACTTTGAGAGGCTGAGGTGGGCAAATAGCTTGAGCCTAGCAGTTGGAAACCAGCCTGAGCAATGTGGCAAAACCCTGTCTCTACCAAAAATACAAAAAATAGCCAGGCTTGGTGGTGCACATCTATCATCATGGTTACTTGGGAGGCTGAGGTGGGAAGAGTGCTAAAATCTGGGAAGTAGAGGCTACAGTGAGCCATGATGGTGCTACTGCAGTACAACCTGGGTGACAGAGCAAGACCCTGTCTCAAAAGATAATACTACAAAATAAAGAAAGAAAATTGAAGTATAGACCTTTACTAAATGATCTTGAGTTATAAATGTTAAGTTTCTAACTCCTATTACCAAGTAGAGTACTATTAAAAATGGAACCAAGTTTTATCTTTGTTCTTCAAAACCTAATACATCTACGAATAAATGATGGATTTTTTATGGTCCTTTGGTTTTGAAACATACCTCATTCTTTTCTTGAGATGGAGTGTTGCTCCATCACCCAGGCTGGAGTGCAGTAGCGCAGTCTAAGCTCACTGCAACCTCCACCTCCCATGTTAGGGTGATTCTCCTGCCTCAGCCTCCCTAGTACCTGGGATTACAAGGGCATGCCACCACACTCAGCTAATTTTTGTATTTTTAGTAGAGACGAAGTTTTGTCATGCTGGCCAGGCTGGTCTTGAACTCCCGACCTCAGGTGATCTGCCTACCTCAGCCTCCCAAAGTGCTAGGATTACAGGCGTGAGCCACCATGCCTGGCTGCATACCCCATTCTTAATAGTGTTAACCCATTATTTTAATTTGTGACATGGTATAGATTTATCCAATTCATATTAGATTGTTTTCTTGCCAAAACATACAATTAATTAGGAGGCCTCTAAATTTTCAGCAGCTGGGGATAATAAAACCATTATATATCTTCTTTCAACTAAGAAAGGAACCAGCTCTCAAGATCAAACTAAATCTCAAGATTCAAACTAAACTTACAATGCAAAGAGTTTATGCACATAAATTTGACTAGGTCAAAATGAACAGACTACTATAATCAACAAAGGAGGGCACTCTAGGAGCAAGCACACTGAAACAGATTATCAGACAATAGAGGTGCCTGGTTCACAGCAGAACAGAAAGTCAGTGTGGGAAGAGATTTGGAACAAAAACCAAGAAAATTCTGCCAGGTCTTTGGCACTAACATCAAGAAAGTCATAGTGTAATTTATTTCCCTTACAAACTGGAAAAATACTTTCTTCTATCTCAAATTTTGCCTTTAGAAAGTTGTTATATTTTAGCCCAATAAAATAACAGGAAGTTCCAGAGTAATGCAAACACTGTAATTGCCTTGCTTAGCTACATATGCAAATCATTGAACTGAAAAAAAGTTCACAATTTAAAAACAACACAAAAGCAAAACGAAAGGAGCAAGAAGCTAAAGAAAAACACAGACAATCTGAATTAGAAGCTGCTCAATTAGCACAGGAGAAAGAACTAATAATTAGACAACAAGTATTATTGGCAAAGAAAGAAAAAGACATCCAGAAAAAAAAACAAAAAACATTCCAAAAGAATGGCAAGCTGGGTGGGTGACATATGCCTATACTCTCAGCTACTTGGAAGGTGGAGACAGAAGGACTGCTGGAGCCCAGGAGTTTGGGGCTGTAGTGGCTATGATCGTACCTGTGAATAGCCACTGCACCCCAGCCTGAGCAGCATAGCAAGACTTCTGCTTTAAAAAAAAAAAGGCAAAAACTTGGAAACTCATGCAACATCTGAAATCACTTTTCCAACAATGAAGAAGGGTGGGTTAAATGACAGAAGGCCAGGTGTGGTGGCTCATGCCAGTAATCCTAGAACTTTGGGAGGTTGAGGTGGAAGGCCTGCCTGAGGTCAGGAGTTCAAGGCTGCAGTGATTTATGATGGCACCAGTGCACTCTAGCCTGAGGGACAGGGGGAGACCCTGTCTCAAAAAAGAAAGAAAAAAAAAAGAAATGATGGAAGAAGTAGAAAAACTTTGTAATCAGTGTGAACTAGAAAGCTTCCAATACTTTAATGAAACATATCATTTACAAAAGAAGTAGGAATCGCTGGCATGGAAAAAAAGAAGAAATAAATGAACAAATTACAAAGGAGAAACAGGAAGCTAGGGCTTGTATGTGACAAGCATCTAAGAATGCAGAGAAATAAACTGGCAGAGATGGGAATGGCAGTAACAACAGGTAAGAAGACAATGTGCAGTTACAAGTTAAAGCTATGCATCTCTTCCCTGCTGGAACGAATTCAAGATGGGAAGTTATTGCTAATTACATCAGCATACATTTTTCTACTGATGTCAAGACAACCACCAAAGGTGTTACTGGCAAAGCAAAGAGCCTCCAAAAATTGGACCCTCATTAGAAAGACAAACAAAAAAAGGCTTTTGATAAACTTTAAAAAGAACATTGCCTCAAGCAGACAATGAAACACCTTCAGAATGATCTGAAGGTCCATGTACCCACTTCACCCCTTGGACAACAAACAGAAGTTTTTTGAACAAGCTTTGAAAACATACCTAGACAACACACCTGAAAGATGACAGAAAATAGCACAAGTGGTACCTGGCAGGAAAAAGATAGACTGTATGAAAAGATGCAAGGAACTTGTCAAGATGGTAAAAGCAAAGAAAGCTGCTCAAGAGCAAGTGTTATCTGGACGTGCCTGTTATTCCAGCACTTAAGGAGGATGAGGTGGGAGGATCACTTGAGGCCAGGAATTCAAGACCAACCTGGTCAACAGAGCGAGACCCTGCCTCTAAAAATAAATAAAATAAAATAAATAAAAAGAGCAAGTATTGAATGCAGGTAGAGTTAAGAAATGACTTAATCTTTATTGGGTATGCACTTTTATAATAAAACTGAAAATACTGAGAAAACAAAATAACAAATTCTAATTCAAAAAGTTAACTATAAGTATCTCAGTTAACTAACATGAAAAATGTTCATAGTTTAAAAAGAAATTCACCAGCCTATCAGATCTGATGTAATATCAGGATGCCATAAAATTTCAACCAACAACTTAGCAAAGAAAGAAACTATTGAGGCTGGACGTGGTGGCTCACGCCTGTTATCCCAGCACTTTGGGAGGCCAAGGCAGACAGATCACCTGAGATCAGGAGTTCAAGACCAGCCTGACCAATATGGAGAAACCCTGTCTCTACTAAAAATACAAAATTAGCCGGGCGTGGTGGTACATGCCTGTAATCCCAGCTACTTGGGAGGCTGAGGCAGGGGAATCGCTTGAATCCGGGGGGCAGAGGTTGCTGTGAGCTGAGATTGCGCCACTGCACTTCAGCCTGGGCAACAAGAGCAAAACTCCATCTCAAAGAAAGAAAGAAAGAAAGAAAGAAAGAAAGAAAGAAAGAAAGAAAGAAACTACTTCAATGAATCTAATGGCATTTTGTTGAGAGAAAGAAGCCAATTTTCAAGAGTTATGTTCTGTATGATTTCATTTCTATGATATTCTGGAAAATAGAAAACTATGGTAATGGAGAACAGATCAATGGTTACTGAGGTTTAGGGATAAGGGTAGGGTCTGACTACACAGGAATAGTATGAGGGAGTTTAGTGGAGGTGGGGTGGGGGACAGTGGTGGTGGTGAAGGAATTGTTCCCAGTTGTGGTAGTGGTTACATGAATTGATAACACATTAAGATTCATAGAACTACACACCTCCCAGAAAAGGCCAATTTGACTGTATAATTTTAAAGATTAAATAAAAGAAAAAAATTCCAGATGGACTATAGTTGTATTCAACTAGATATCACTGGGTAAAGATATATAGAAAATAATATTATTAAAAATAAAAATAAGAGATTTTTTAATGAGTTTTTGTTTTGTTTTGTTTTGTTTTGTTTTTTTTCGAGACAGGTCTCATTCACCCAGGCTAGAGTGCAGCGGTACGATCTCAGCTCACTGCAGTCTCTACCTTCCCAGGCTCAGGTGTTGGATCATCCCACCTCAGCCTCCTGAGTAGCTGGGACTAGAGGCACGTGCCATTATGCTGCTAATTCTTTGTATTTTTTGTAGAGATGGGAGTCTCCCTATGTTTCCCAGGCTGATCTTGAACTCTGGGGCTCAAGCAATCTGCCTGCCTCAGCCACCCACAGTGTTAAGATTAAGGAGTGAGCCACTGCGCCCAGCCACTTACTTAGTTTTTAGTACAACCAGATCAAGCAAATAATGATTGATTAAATGTCCTTCACCATCAAGTCACATAAAACTGTATTCCTCCGCCTGTTTATTTAGATTCACCAAATACATATTATCTTTTTGATTATTTTTCAGATGGGCGCAGATAAAATAACTCAAGTTCCTTAAAAAATGATCGCATTTCAAAGGCAACCACCTGCCTTGAAGCTGTTATCACACTCAAGAAAGTCATGCTATTTTGATTTTTTTAAGTGCTATCCCCCCAAAAAATCAGTAACCAGCCGCCACTATAACAATCAATAAAGATTACTGAAATACTTTTCAATGATGTGAAAAACCGAAAAATTTTAAATCTGATCATCTTCCCAGTTATAAACATCTAAACAAATAATAATTTTTGGCACTTTAAAAAAGCTTTTCAGTATCGATTGCTATTTCTTCCACCCAATCCAACTACTGTATATAAAATACCTACCTATGTACTGAA